CCTGAGGCCTTCTCTGCTGGTCTGTGACTGACCAGGACTTAGGGCCTGCCTGGAAGCAGCTCAGTCAAATCCCAGTTGGAATCAGCTGTCCAGGAGGCTTGTAGGGAAAGTGCAGGAATGAGATGACACCTTGGGTGCACAGAAGGGGTGCTCATCCATTGCCAGCGAGAAGGCAGACTGGTGCAGCTTAGGCAAAGCTGGCTGTTTATCACCCATGACCCCAGAAAGCCCACAGCCATAAATCCTTCAGCAACTTTATTGATAGTCACAGAAAACTGGAATTAGATGAGGCACTTAGCCACTGATGAGTAGGTAAAAACCAAGGTCCATGCGTAAAATGATGAGACTACGCAGTAAGGAAAATTGTCGGCTGAATTCAGGCTGTTTCCCACCCGTGCACAGGTCACAAATGCAATTTTCTCTGTAAAGGAAACCAGATTCCACGGGCACTAACTGTAGGATTCTATCCATGCAAACTCTGGGAAAGACATCAGACTTGGCAGAGGGAGCAGGGCTGACCACACAGGGGTGCGTTTGGGGCCAGTGGGACAGTCCCTGCATCAGGGCTGTTCTTTGGTCAAGCCTGTGGATATCGACATCAGAGGGGAGGTTTCCTGTATGTCCATTTAAAAATCAAAAAATGCAAAGCAGGAAATGCCAGATAAAGATAACGAGAATACCACGACGACTCTATGTCCACATCTTTGAAAATGAAGACTTGAAATGGACGAATTATTAGAAAAAAATTAATGGCCAAAGGAAATCAAAAGCCGCGACAGCCCTGCAACTATGGGATGGATTTAATTGATAGCTCAAAGCCTTCCTGGGCAGACATCTGGGGATGTCAACTTCCAGGCCAGGGGAGGTCAGAACTGCCCCGTGGAGGCAGGTGGTGGCTGCAGCGTGCAAAGCAGTGCAGGAGAGTGGACATGGGGTGTTACTGGGAGGACCCTCCCACACTGTAGGGTCCCACCCGCCTTCTCCCGGGGGACTCCAGGTGGGGTCTAGGAGTGAGCCTGGAGCCCGGCTTGGCGTTTTGGCACGTGTGTGTGTGTGTGTGTGTGCTCTACACACAACTCTGTGAGGATGGGCACCTGTGTGTGCACAGGTGTGTGTGAGGTGAGCAGCCTTGGTCTCATGGTCCAGTCTGGGCAGCAGAGGCAGCCCCAGCGTTCCTCCCCCGGAAGGAAGCCCCAGCTGCCAAGGCAGAGACAGGGGTATGTAGCTGAGGGGCAGGAAGTGGAGGTGGAGGAGTGTCCTCTGCTGCCCTTGAGTGGCAGGTCCTCTCTGGTGGCAGGGGTGGCAAAGATTGCCCCCTGTGCACATTCCCACACCACAGTCACAGGCACACTCTAACGTGTGTACGAGCTCACTGCACACATGCGTCCTTGTTCACATGCTGTGTGCACACACCCTTGCCCTCGGGTCTCCTCAGCCCTGGTACCTCCTGAGTCTGCCAGCAGCACCCACTGACACAGTGGCACACAGCCCTCTGCACACC